CCAAATCTCTGAGGTTGGAAAGCCTCCATCACCCTTATCTGCAGATTTTTGATAAGAAATATGGGCATGGCAGTGGCACCGGGGTAAATCGCAACCCAGGTATAGAGGCCTTACTCCTCAACTTGGCCGTCGCAGGCCTAATGACCTTTGCCTCATGTCTTCCCTCTCTCTTGTAATCCACTTTCCTGTCTGGCAACTGTCAAATAAAAGCCATAGAGCCAATAAAACCTTAGAGATGAACAATAAAAAATAAAAATGAGGACCAATTTTGCCACCCTTAAATGGAATCCGAGTTCCAATCAAGAGAGGCGTCTTGTTAAAATTTTAAAAATGACTGCTGGTGTACAAATAATTTTGAGTTCAACCCTAAAGGACTTGATACACGGAGCAAAAGTGACAGTTTTCCAAACAGGACAAACAGGACGCAACAGAAGCAAAAATTTATCAAAAGCGATAAAAGTTGAACAGAAGTTCAACATTTTGAAACTTTTCCCCAACAAACGGAAAGCAACAGCAGTGATAAAGGTTGAAAATGTTGATACTCCCGTTTGTTGCATCGCTTGCCTGCACGTGCACGTGTATGAGCTCAAAATTTCACAGGCACAAATTTCGCTGGTCGCTTGGCTGGAGGAGGGACGGCAATTGTCACCTCATCACACAAGTTCCATAGAAATTGAATGGAGAGAGAGCAATGTTGCTCCCCATGTGTCAAGCCCATAACTATTACAAATCTCCAATAAACATGCAGAGACCAGAGCAGCAGTGTTAATTATAACAGGAAAAAGAAAAGTCATCTGACTTCAAGTAACTCTATGCAGTTGTTAAACAACTCTATCATAGAACTTCAGCCCAGGAATGTTCAGAAATAATCAGGTTGTCTATCTTTCACCGTCACTGCTCTTTCTTCCAGTTAAAACTTTGAAGAATGCTGACTACTTTGAATACATTCTGCACATTACCAACCCCTAGGAAAAGCCACATTTTCAAATGCAAGTACTTCTGCTTTTTGAAGAAAAGTGTCAAACAACAAAAGAGATACACTTACACCTCATTATATGATGCAAGACACTAAATCTGCAGTGAAAACGGTGCTGGACACTGAAAAACAAAGACTCCAGGCCAAAATCTGTGATCTAGAATTCACCTTGTATCCCAAACAACTGTCCAAGGTTGTGATCCCTGGCTAATCCCCACTTTGTCTGTCTGCTGACTTGAGCCAGAAGGCATGTTTACATCAACAGCATTTATACATGCTAACCGTCTGTCTCTCTGGACCTAATATAGATGGGACTTTAGGAAGATTCACTTTTGGTTTCGAACCAAATACCTGACACACCTGTAGATATGGAGGAAGATGCATCACTCCCGTCAAACACATCTTCAAGTTACATTTTCCAGAGAAGAATTTGATTTTTTTTTTCTGTGGTAGCTTCAGTTATTATCTTTAAGGTCAGATATGGGTTGATAAGCTCTGCTCTACCTGAGCTAATGAGCATATAAAAAAGACCAAGCTGTCATAAAATAATGCAACAATGTAACAATGTTACAAATAATCCAATTATTTGTAACATTTTTGGCTAAAATTGACTAGCGAGTGACAGACTGATTCTGTGACAAATCATATGGGTTATCCGAGATCATTTTGATTAGGTTTCCATGCAACAAGCTGTATAGACAAAACGCACACATAGGTGTGACACATTTCTCTTCCGTTTACTGGTTTCACCTGAATGAGGTGAAGAATTATGATAAAATCAGAGCAGTCAGTAGAACAGGAAAAACAGTTGAGCGCTGATGTCACTCTGTAAAACAAGTTCATCTCAAGTTTATACAACTCCAAGTTGCAATAAAAAAAAACTTAATTGGGTTTAACATCTTGGAGCCAACTTGTAAACTTGCATAGTCCAGCTAAGTAACAGATCTGCTGTTTTTCTTGGGAAGGCATGGGAAGAGAATTTATTTACTGATCAGGAAATGCTGACTTGAAAGAATCAGCTCATTAGTGTGACATACATTACCAAAGGTCAGGACAAAGCACCATAATTTAAACACCCATATTGAACAACTGGTTCAGTAAAGGTCTTTTGCCCAAACACTCTCAACATTATATATGTTGAGAGGGGTTGTCTTTTTGCATGAGATGATAATTGTACCAGTAAATAAATAAAAAAAATAGTCTCAACAATAATGGGTATTTAAATATTTCATTAAATTATAGCTAAAAAAGATTTAGACACACCACCAAAAAATCTGACATTGTATTTAGTTTCCTTAATTATTTTATTTTATTATTTTTGAAGTTTTTAAATCCCATTTTGACCCCCACACAAACTAGGTGGGAGAAATTATTGATTAACAAACATCAAAACTCGATTTTCCTAATAATTCATGACCTAATTATGTGGAAGGCAAAAGGTGGAACTCAGAAGCACATGTGTGCAGCAGCCTGGACAGTGGAGTTGCACAGCCACCATTTTGATACAACTGATACACTAGAATGTCCAAATATCAAAACAACTTCAAAGAGATTTAAGATTGTTTTATTCTGCTCACATCTGGTAAATAAAACTGATTTTGATTCTTAAATGAGAGCACAGTCTTTAAAAAAGTCTAAGCACTAAGATTGAACATTTTCAAGTTGGTATATTGTTGCCCAAGCATTGGTTGTACCTACTAATATGAGAGTTTTAGAGCATAATGAAATCTAATTTATTTCACAAATTGAAAAAATAATTTGTTCACTGTTGATCAAAGTAAAGAAAAACATGTATTTTAAAATATCATCTTTTCTTGACAACCATATCTAAATCATGCTGAAGCTGCAATCTCCAGCAGCCATTGGGCAAGGGGAGGGGTTTACCTCACAAAGGAAACTGGAGGGAAGGGAGCCTGGCCAAGCTAAGCCAGAAACAAAACGTCAAAATCAGGCAGCCTCCGAACAATAAAAGCACAAATGCTGGGAAGGGAGGTCAAACAACAAATAGGAAAAGTGATGCAGATTGGCTACTGGAGGCAGCCTGCGATACATGGAGATGAAATACATCATCTCCGTGTATCTGCTTTGCTTTTCTTCAGTGTGCTCATCTTGGAGCATGAGTCTGTAGCCAGAAAGAAAAAAGAGACAGCAGAAGCTAAGCCTTGCCTGGAAATTTAAGTGTGGACTATCTATCTAAAAATTTAAGTATATAGCAGATTTCTACAGTGAAAAGAAACTTGGGTAGCACAGCTGTCAGTAACAGAATGGGAGATACAAAAAAAAAAGTGCTGACTGGTTATTATGGTAATTCTGAGAATCCAAGAGCTACTGGAAATATAATACAATTTCCATGAAATGCAAGCACACCTTTGGATCAAATCCTTAGGTGTAAAGAATGCTGCCTGCTGCGCACCCCATTTAGATGCAATGAGTCCAAAACACAAATAAACTAAATTATAAAAAAAAAAAAAAAAAAAAAAAAGTTATGTCTTGATTTTTTTAACTTTGTATTAAAGATTACTTATTTTTTCCACATGTTGCACTGTCTGTGGAAAAATAAGTTGTCCCATTTTTAATTGAAGTAATGTGACAATCAATTAGAAAATCTGAAACAACCCTTAAATGATTTTACAACACTACAGTACTGTTCAAGATAATAGCTTAACCTTGTATTTATTTTTTAAACAATATTAAGAAATGGATGCATGTTGTCACCAAGTCAAATATTTATATACTGAGCCTCTTTAGTTTCAGTAATGTATTATTTGCTAGGTATTCAATCTGCTAACAAGTTTATTATTTGAAATGTCTTGTAAAGTTACTAAATGACAGAGCAACCAGTATTAGGGGTAATTCTCCTTTTTAAATAAACCACACCCACATCCAGCCTCCCATGCAGGTGTTATTTTAACTAGATATATACATAACTACTCTGTATGTTAAATATTTACTTATACTACACCTAAATGATGAAGGTATACAATACATAATAACTTTGTATATTATTATTTAGATGCATTAAAGGTCTGAATGCGATATAAAACTCTACTTGCCGACAAAATATATTTATCTCACAATATGAGCAGTTCGACACATACAAAAGCTGACCATTCATGCAGCATTATGAAATTGTGAAAAACTGAGCTAGCATACCAACTCTGGACAAGCAAACCAATCATGATAAACCTCAAGCATTTTATCTGCACCAGCTGCCTGGTATTTAGGCTGTCGAAGCCCTGATGATAAAAGACAATTTATTTATTTTTTTCTTTTTAAATGTGTGCATTCGGTAAAGACATAGAAAAGTTGAGTTGGTCTGCGCATACTCTATGGCTACGGTTTGTAATCAATATCAGCTTTCCCCTGCTGCTAGAGGTGACCAGAGGATAAAGTTGCACAAGAGTTTGCCCAGGCTGATGACAAACTTCATCTCCGTGTTGACTCTTACTTCAGTGCTGCCATCCAATCAGCACCCTGAGTCATACGAGCTGACACAGCCAGGGAAAAATCCATACTAAGTAATCTGCTTAAAATTGTAGCCACACCTATAAACTGAAAGTTACGTTAATTCATTTAAAAACATTCTTCGGCATAGACTGTTTTATTTACACCGCTTCCGTAGAAAAGAATACAACCATAAAGGGGTGTGTGCTGTGCTCAGACAAAAGTTGAAGTCCTGTGTTGGCATGTTGCAATCAGTCAGGAATGTATAAGCCTCAGATGCAGAAATGAGTTGAACTTTAAAAAAAAAAAAGAAAAGAGTGAAGAGTCAATAACTTCCTCATATGTAGCCAGAACTATGACCTCAACCATGTATACACACACAGGGCAATATCTGAAGCTAGTAACAGCCGGTGAATAGCCTGGAGAGGTTACCGTAATTACAGGTAGGGTGTCTGTGTGAAACTTGAGAAGAAACCCTGACCAGCAGCGTGTGTAGAGTTTGGTGCAACACCTGGGCCCAACTCTACAGATGACTAAGAAAGATAAAAATGCGTGAAGTTCAGTCAAATGAGATACTCACAAATTTCTTTTTCCCATCTCCATCCTCGTCCTTGTCCTTGTCCTTCTTCTTTGATTTCTTATCCTTCTCTTTCTTGGATCCAGCAAATGAAGCCGAACTCCCCGTGTTTTGATCCATATTGGTAAATTAATCCGTTTGAATTTGACGTACAGATTGACTCATGTAGCGGGTGTTCTTCCCCTGCAATGTTGTCTAGCTTGGGTGGGAAAGTGTATTCCCAAAGGTCTAGTGCTAGTATCTCAGCTAGTTAGCCACAATTAGCACAGGTCTGCTAGTAATTTGGTACACAGCCAAGCGACCCTCTCGCAAAGCCGCCCGTGTGTATGACCAAAGGAGGGAAATTCAAAGCATAAGCCGAAGTACTGGAATCAAGAAGCACGAAAACAACTTGTTGCGCCTGTGGAATATCAACGAGCACCTAACGCTGTTACTTCCTATAGGTTACACCAGCCACTAAGTTAAGAAACAACATCAAACCCCTCAAATATGCGGTACAAAAAGAGCTAACGTTAGCTTTAGCCCGGGCTAGCCCGTGGGCTCCAGTAATTAGTTAGTTAAAGCGGAACAAAAACCCTGCGCGTCCACTTCCACCCGTTGTTTCGGTAACAACAACGCGGAGTCGGCGTTAAAGATGACCAGAGTCGATGGTGTATCTAATATTGGTTTCCATGGCTGCTCAAAAAAGTTTAGGTAACTTTTTAACCCCTGTGTGACAGCGGAGAAGCGAGTAGTTTCAACGGTAGACTACTTCTTCCTGTTCTTTGACAGTCCTGGTGAGTGGGCGGAGCATGCGCCCTTAAGCTTCACCTGAGCCGATTTAACTGACAGATCACTGCACAGGGCAAAAAAAAAAAACACCGATCATTACGTCTTATCAAGCTTAAGCAGCATCACCAAACAACAATAAGGGGAACAACATGGGGAATTCTCTTTCACTTTGTGTCATAATCTAGATTTTAAAATATCAAAGAAGTCAATTAAATTCTAGAACAATTAAAAAAGAATCAGCTCAAACGTGAAATGAGTAAGGTGCAGCGCCTGGCTAAAAGTTTGTTTGTTTTTGTTGTTGTTTTCTTTCATTCTACTACATTGGAAGCAAAAATGTTACATTATTAGGGTTTTGTTTTTTTTTTAAAAAAACATACCAGCTTAAACAATTTCACTTTTGTTAAATGGACAAAAAAGAATGCAAATTGGAGAATTAAACAATAAAATTATTTAAATTTTATTCATCCCCTTTTAATCAGATACCTTGAAATAACTTTCTTTGCATTGAAGTTGAAAATTGACCTAATTACTAAAAAGAACCCACTTGTTTGTAGCTTAATCCCAGGATTGTCTGCTGGGCTTCCTTAGATATAAACTTTTTAAACTACTTTGAATAATTAATTGAGCATACTGTACTGTTTGATAACTAGGATTAATTAGAATGTATGTGTGATTGAATTAAATAGATTTTTTTTGTCTGGAGACTGTTAATAGGAAATATAAACTGAATTGAGTAGAAATAACTCCTGTTCTGTGAAGAGCTTTTTTTTTTTGAGAGAGAACATTGAATGGACTGCATCATGAAAGCCAAGGAACACCAGACAGGTTTATTTTGTCTGTGCTTCCTCCATGGTTACAGTTGATATGTAAACACCTAGAGAAATTTAAAGCATAGTTTCTACAACTGTATCCCAAGCTTTAAACATCCCTATGGCACTCCAAAAATCTGAAAATGTAAAGAGTATGAGAGAGCTACAAGCATCCCGAAACCAGGCATCCACTTAACGTGACAGGCCTGGTAAGAAGAGCATCAATCAACAAAAAAGAAAAGAGGTCCATTGTAAATCTCAAGGACCGGTAGATCCACAGATGTGGTGGGAGAATAGACTGAAGAACTAATATTTGTGCACCACACAAATCTGGTGTTTATGGAGGAGTAGCAAAAAGAAAGTGCAATGTTGAAAGAAAGCCATTAGCTTGTTTAAAGCTAGCTTGTTTAAAGTTTGCTGCAAGCCACGTCGGTAAAACAGCAAGGACGTGGAAGAACTCTGATCTCAGGAAGATGGAAGAAGCTATAGGCTAAATACTCCAAGTTTAGCAGTAACAAAAAAAAACACAACTCTTGATTCTCCTAGGGTCCCAACCTCCTTGGTAATACAAAGGCAACTTAGTTTATTTTGCAAGGGAATGATCAACCATCGTGCTCTTAAGTATGTATGTGTTGAAATTATCAAAGGCATATTGTATCGCCCTGTGAAATGGCCCACCTTTCAGTTTTCATCCTTTTCATTCTGTAAGCATGTGTGTTTCAACGCCTGAACTCTTTTTTTTTTTTTTTTTTTTTTTTTTTAAACCAACGTGGGAGTCCCCCTTTCCTGCAGTGGTTGCAGCCCTTCAGCATTTTGCTCTGCAACCACGCATACACATAATAGGACCTGGGGCTCCACCATGTGGTCAAAATGTAAACGGCAGTTATTTCAAGGTGAGAAGGGAATGGATTCATGCTGGTGTTACATGCTAAATTGGAGGACTGGATCTCGATTCTGACTTTAGAAAGCATTACAACTGCAAGTAAATTTTTTTAAACATACATTTTCAAAGAAGTTGCAATTCAACTTAGGTACAAAATAAGCAAAAATTCTGTGTGTTGACTTTCATACAGATGAAACTTTGACAGAATGAGTGTTCGGTATTATTTTGGCTGTATGTTTTATGGATATAACAAGGTATGATTCATTGCATAACTTTGACTCAGACATACACAAACTTGTAAGCGCACAAAATCTCTCTTTCTCTCTCTATCACTCACACAGTAAGAGAGACAGGATCACAAAGACAAGCTTATTTTTTCTGTCGTGGTATGTGAGTGATGTTTCCCAATAACAAGATTGGGGAGGATTTGCAAATCACCGGCGGCACTGAAAAAAGCCAACACTTTGGTCTGCTTTATCGCACAGGACTCCGCCACAAGTCTTCATCCCCTATCACGGTTATGAAGCTAAAAATTGTCTATGAGAAGTTAATTATAAAAGTGATAGGGCTTGCAGTCCTGCGGCACTGTGTATAAAATGCCTCTGTGGGTGTAATAAATGATAAACAGTTGGCCTTTCACGTCAGCAGTTTGCAACAACTTCTCCTGTATATTTCGGACCCAGGTAAATAACCAAAAAAAAAAAAAAAAGACAACAACAGAAGACATTTCAGTATCTTTATACAACAATATATAGCCACTATAATCTGTCATTTGATTATTTTACAGTTGAAAAAAAAAACTTTTCAGATTGTATCCTAATTGTCTTACAAGACAAGACAGTCCAGTTACAGTATTACAAAATACTTTTGTACAGACTAGAACAGTAGTTCCTATGTTGACACATTGTGAGCCATGTTTTCATGAAGGAAAACAGGCCCGGGGCTCAGTTCTGTGATGCAAAGTGCAGGCGCCATGTCAGATTTGTAAGCAGTTGGATGAGTTAATGCTGGAACGACTAACTGGAATGAGGATCCTGGAAAAAATTGGCTTCCGTTTTGTGGAGAGCTGCCGGTGAATCACGGCAGAGGATTGTTTCACGTTTCATTATTTAGATTAGCAGAAAGCACAGGCCTATGATTAATGAATCATTTCTGAGGTCCCCCTTTTATCTTTCCACCTGTCACAGCACTGAAGTGTTTTTATATGTCAGTTTCAGGCCTGCGGGCAGCATCTATCGCAACTGATAACATTCCAGGTAAGAGATCCAGCAAATGCGCAACCAGAAGTTCACTAAACAACATGAGCGCCAGAGCTTTGTCCCTTGTGTGTGGGGGGGGGGGGGGGGGGTTATTTGTAGGAGGTCCGGGCCTCTCTCAGTGACCTGTCATATGGCATGGAGGCGAAGAAGGAGTTCCGCAGCTGGCAGTTGATGAAGAACACAATCAGCAGGACCAGCAGGAAAAGCAGTAGGCACATGACGATGTAGGTGATCAGGTCGGGTTTGTGCAGCTCGCCCTCCCGGAGGCCCCCTCCGCCGCCTCCCCTCCCCGTGGTGGGTCTCAGTAGGGCGGCCACGCTCACCGAGCCGCCGTTGGAGGCGTTTAGGGAGGAAGGTGCGTGCGTCGTGGACTGGGCCATGAGCACCAGGTCGAAGTCCGGGGAGTCGGTGGAGTTCAGGAGGATCTGTCTCAACATGACGCCCTGTGGGTTCACCGAAGGTCGGCTGCAGGAGAACAAACAAACAAACAAACAAACAAATTATACAACTGACTGACAGCTCAAAAAAACAGAAAAAAAGAAAGAAAGAAGAACCAGCTTCAGAGTAGAAATGTTTTTTTGTTTTTTTTCCAAATATCCCGTCAAAAACATATATATTCAGCAATATAATGATGCTATTAGCGAAATAAACCATAAAGTAGTCAAGTAGGTTCTAACAGGAGATAGTGGCCTTATAACACTGATTATTCCCCAGAAAGAATAATAATAATAATAATAATAATAATAATAATAATAATAATAATAATAATAATAATAATAATTTACTTTGGTGTGAGCTGCGAAGAGTTCCGCAGGTGATCTGAAGAAGTCAAAATCTCGGATCCGCATTCCTCAGCGTCCCCGACTCTGATCCAGCGCCGCCAAGGACGAGTTGGCCCCTCCGTCGCTCCGTCGACAGCTTCTTATCGGCGTCCACGCGTGCTGAGTGGGTCCTGGTGGCAGCTGTAACGCCGTCCCCCGTCACATTAAGAGGATGCAACCAAATCCACGTGTGGAGACGGTACCAGACCAAAACATTGTCTCACTAGCAATCGTCCCGTTTCACAGCCCACACTATTTCTACGAGAACAATATCCAGATGAATTGGGGATTTGAAGTTGAGCGACGAGCGCCGCCGGTGCGCACACATGTAGCCAGGCTTGCGCGTCGCGGACCGCCTGCATGCGCGCACAGGACTCGGCGTGCGATCTCCGCAGCCCGCCCTTCTGGTTGCCCTTTTTATCCAGTAAAGAATCGATGCGTGTTGATTTGATACTATTCCGATGGCCTGCCCTTACGAGTTCATCGATTCGGTGTCACTAAAACGAGGTGAAAGGCGAGGATTAATGGATAGCGAAACACACCAGCGCGCCAGGTCATGAACAGCTTTCCATCCTCTCCCTGGGCTGCATGTTAGTGACACAGAGAGGGGGAGAGAGAAGGAGTAGAGAGAGAGAGGGAAAGAGAGAGAGAGAGAATTGCAGATCAGGAGGCACGCACATCCCCGGACACCACGTCTCTATCTATTCCATCTGTTTTCCCTGTCTATCTTTTTTTCGGTTCATAAAGGTTCGTTTTCAGAGGGGTGACAGGAAGTCCATTCCCAACTCCGGTCCATTTCTGGGCCGGCATGGGGAATGTCTCACACTGGGGTGATGAGAGAGCAGTGGAAAGGTGTGAGATCGGAGGGCGCATGTATTACCTCAAAATGGATGGTTAACCTTCAGAAATGGACCTACCGTCGTTTGTGGTGCGTTTCTTCAGAGCATAAATAACCTTCAAAGTGCTTGAGATTGTAAGAAAAACACAACAAACTACAAGACAATAAATTAATGCTAATATGAAGCAAAGCAGAATCAAACGTGAGTCAAACAAAAACACGCACAAGAGATGAATCTCCAGGCGTGTACACAAATGTGTAAAAGGGAGTTTTCCTGATTTCTCAGAGGAATATTGTTCCACAGCACAAAGACCCCACTGACCAAGCACAGACTACTTTTTCAGTCTACACTGAGGAACAATCAAAAGATCTTGATCGGAAGACTTTATAGGTCTAATGGGAGTGCATGGTGTTACCAGGTTGCTGATGTAACTCTGAGCCAAGTGATGGATTGTTTTGTGGAGGAGGAAGAGGAGGAGTATGTACTGAATTCTGAATGTGACTGGTAGACAGAGAAGGGACATGAGACCTGTAATCATGTGAGCATGGATGGAGTGTTGATAAGCTGTTCTGCAGATGACTTTCAGAGCATCTGCAAGCAGGAAGCTGACTCATTATTTAAACAGGAATAGACAGAGTTGCAGCAATGTTGGAGTAATGAGATAAAAGCAAGAATTACTGTTTCCATAAGGCAGGAGGGTACTTATTTTATCACTTAGAGCTTAGAGGAAAATAGCTACAATAAACAACAGATCTAAATTGTCCTGTGTGTTACATTATACACAGGACTCTAATGGATCAGACAAAATTATTGAGAAGGTTCTTTGGCGCAAAAAACAAACAAACTAGAACATCTGTTTGTAATTTCGGTGGAGGAAATTAAGAGCCGTCTTGTTAATAATAACTGAAAAGCATTGCTGTTAAGTTGTGACCTTTGTATAATGAATTAAATATTTGAAGGAGGTGACCCAAGGGAAATGAACACAAAGAGAAAGGTCCGAGCATCGACACCTGCAGGACACCACGGGTGAAGAATACCAGGGAAGAGTCCAACTCAACAGTTGTCACATAAAACCTTCGATTTGATTTCAACATTATTGTTACCCAGGGGCCAATCTAATGCTTTGTGCAAACTGATATTTATGAATATTATCAGAATCAGGCTGAACGCAAAGAATGAACCAACACAGTAAAATCTAAACATACGTAGATAAGCAGTTAAGGAAGAGAGATTGAAATGAAGACATGACTGATAGAAACAGAAATAATTAATAACTATGGTTAAGCACCAATAAACAAGAAACGTGATAAAAAAAATGCAAACAATGGAGAAGCTCAATAACCTAACAGAAACCTGACTGATCTGACTTTAGGATATCATTCAGAATCCTGAGGATTAATAGTCTTTGTCTTTCACAAAGACTATTTCACTTTGTTCTTTTGAGACCATAAAGGACTATTTTATTCGATTTTAATTCAAGAGATACTTTAACTCTTTTCCCCCTCAGATTTTAGGTAAAATGTGAATCTTAGATGTAAGTAATTTATTAGCAACTGTGGATTCAGATGAGGACTCTCATAAACGGATTTAACTGAAACTATTTTAAAGTAATCCAGCTACAACACCGGTGCTAAAAGACTGATTTATTCATGACCAGCAGACTTGGCCCAAAGACGGTGCAGGATTGTACAAGGACCCTTGGGGTCATAACAATACCAAGGGCCAACGTATTTCACAGTCCCTCATTAAAACAGAAATATTATCAAAGCAAAACGACTTAGCAGAGAATGGTGCAGAGCTGTGGTTGGAAAGATTAGGGAGAATGAAGAATATTCTAATCTTTAATGATTTAATCAATGAAAAAGTTCTCCCCGGAAACTTAATTGTTACTTCAATGATCAAACTTTTGCTAAGTTAAGTTTTGACCCAAATCCTAACTGATGTACTTGAACCCACTGATTTGTTTGCTTTCTCTGTGAAATTCATTTGATAACATCTGATACTTAAGTGAAGGTGCTAAAGATGGAGTGTGCATTCAGGGCACTGCCCTGTTTCATATTCATCTGCATCTGCTCTCTTTCAACTGAATTAAACCGGTAAGCTTAGAACACAAGCACAGAGGGGCAAATACACAAACGTACATAGAACACGTCTCAATCAGCAAGGAACATTAATGACATATTGACACAAGCAAAAATGATTTCCAAAAAAAAAAAAAAAAATCAAAAAAATAATGCGTGCTACTTTGCAAGGTCCTGCTGTCCTGCGCCTGCTTTACAGCACACCCAGCAAGAGGATTACAACAATCCAGTGTTTCTGAGAATGTGTGTCGCCTGGGAAATCTGAAAACAGCCCGAAGCGTTGTTGAAACCTTAGTTATTGTGATTTATAAGGAGATTACAGTTTAATGCGGCATCTCTTTATTATTCTTTAATATTCTTCATTGCGGTTTTTCTCATTTTCTTTGACTCGATTTATTTTAAGAGGATTACTTTTGTTTGAAACAGTATGCTCTCAGTTCTCAATTTTTCCAAAGAAGATTAGGATTTCACATTAAGCCAAGCAAATTGCACATGTTTTGCCACATAGTGCAAAAGGAGGATTTTTTTTATTTTTGCATAAGGAGAAGTAGACTTATTTCCCACAAATATTTCCTAAAACGATAAATGTTTATTGAGTTATTAAATCATATTTAGCAAATTTTTAGACAAGAGTGGGCTCCGAAGAGCAGACATAGACAAAATATTCTTTGTGGAAATTGTTGTCCAGACTAAAGCAGAGTGTGAGTTT